GTTGAGTAATAAGCTTATCCGCGCTCCGGGGGGCCCCACCGCGGCGGCCGCATGCTCGCGCTAGCGTTTCCCGGTACGTGAACGAGCGGAAAGCACCGCGGCCGATTAGCTGCTAAGCAGCCGCGGGAACGCCGCGAGTAAGCGTATTCGCGGGGATGTGCTCGTACCGGTGTTTTTCGAGCACCGCTGCTTACGAGCTTATAAGCGGTGCTCTGTGTGCGCTTATGTTAGAAATAAGATGCTCGTTTAGCGTTCAACTAACATTTTGATATTATTTTGATGGAATGTTCTATGCGCGTAGTAAAAAAAGTAAGGGAAATATTAGAGAGGGGTAAAGGAAAAAATACGCTGTGATTTTTAAGGTGGAAAAACTTCATATTTATTGACAATAATTTTCTATTTTTTATTTTTTATTTTTATAAAATTAACAATTGCGTTTTAAAATTATATGCACAATTTCATTAAATCCTAGTGAAAGTAATTCTTCGAATACAATATTGAAATATACATCTGTTCAGAAAATCTCGCTCCTTTTACTCAATCTTTTTCAACGGCATCTCACTCACTCTGGTCCTTCTCTCTAGCGTTCTCTCTCTCCTCCTTTTTCCTCTTGTACGCGGCCGTGACCCAATCCCGAAGCCTGTCCTATCAATCTAATTAGTCTCGCGCAATGCTATCACCCAATCATAAGCACGCTCTCAGGACCTTATCCGCGCTCCTGCGTCGATATCGACCCTTCCGGAAGTCCTCGATCAATCTGTGAGTACCGGTCTATCGTGACGCACGTTGCCTTTAGAACAGTTTATGAATTCCTCGGCGGATTATTCGGTTTAGCCAAAGACAAATTATAAAACTATTGTTTGTGATCATAGAATAAGAAGAACTACTGTAATTGTAAGAATAAACTGAGATATCATCGCTCGAATAATTGTGAAGTGCGGCTCAGATTTTTTGTGTGTGAATCATTAACTGTTTTGCCCGACACCCCCGAAACCAGACACTTCTCGGGTCCTTTATCAAACAACATCTAAAAATGTTAGATAGCGATGTTCTGCGTTTTTCGCTTCTTCAAAGGCGGCTGCGCTTGCTCCTCCGCTTCACCATTACTCGCAGATTGTTCTGCATTTTCCTTGTAAGTCACTATCACAGCCCTCGACCCGTAAGCGGTGGTGAATCCGATGGAAATATTGTTGATGATAATCGGACTTGGTCTAGTTTTTTTATTTTCGCTCAAGTACAACCTCATCTGTTCTATGCTGCTTTGAAACTGCTGTCTATATCGAAGCAAATTCCATCGATATAATTGCCAGTTAATTTAACAATCGGCACGAAGCAATCTTCGTTTGTCGCTTGCAACCCCACATGTAACTTCTTAGTGCAGGATGAATTAAGACCATACGTTGTCGATAGTAATAAATAACGCTGTTCGTTTCTTCTATCGATGTAACAAAATCGGTTAGATTCTTCTGATCACTGGAAACTTCTTTCGTGGCAGCCATTGTTATAACTTTCGAATAAAACTGGGTGAATACTAGTCACAACAACGACAAATTCTTGTATCGAAGCCGAAAGGAAGATTTTCGTACGAGCAAACTCAAATGAATAAGAATTCGCATCTTCTCGTGCTGCTTATATATCGAAATATAAAGAAAAGAGGGGGGAAAAGTTTGCGCAGACAGTCAAATAACAGGAAAAATCATGATTTTTCACGTTCAAACTTGTTCATCACGCTAAAAATTACGTGAAAACATCTAGAAACATCTAGAAATTAGATTCGTTACAAGGAAAAAATTTTTCTCTAAACTTTCTTCTAAATACAATTACAATATGTTACAAAGCGTAAATAAAAGCCTAGCAGCCGTATAATAAATTTTTATAGCTTATATTGTAAAGAGAAAAATGTTATAAAGGACGAATTTCTAATTGGCATAATCCTAGCCCTTCTACGAAAATTTTAAAAGATTTTCACAACAAAGTCTTTACTTTGACACCTCTATAATAAAAACACCTAAGCAATAAAACTAAGTAAATAATGTAATAACGTAATAAAAAATAAAATATTTTTTGTCTACTTTTTTCTTAAAA